ACCCCCTGGCCCCCCTCCCCACCCTGAAAGGCAGTGCTTGCCTGCCCTCACAGCAGCGTCCACTCCGGGCGAAGCCCCCTCTTCAGAGGGTGATTAGAAGCATCTCTCAGGATTAAAAATGTGCAAACCTTTTGATCTAGCAGTTCCACTCCAAGAAATCCACCCGACAGTGACATTCACCATGTGTACACAGAGCAGCGTGCTGGAGGGACCGGAAACCACGCATAGGGCACCGCTTAGAGGAGTGGTGGCTCAGCCACATAGCGTCAAAATGAAGCTCAAGAAGGAATGGGGCAGCTCTAATGTGCGGGGGGACCATTGCCAAGATCTTCCACCGAGGGACTGAAGGGTACACACGGAGCTAGGAAGAGTGGGTGCCCTAAGAAGGGAGACAGCATCACAGAACAACAGAACCTGGACGACCCCACTCACCTGAGGCTCCTACAGGGGTCAAACTCAGAGACAGAAAGCAGAACAGGGGGTGCCGGGGGCTGGGGGACGGGGAAGGGAGTTAGTGTTTCTTGGGGACAGAGTTTCAGTTTGGAAGGTGAAAAAGTGCTGGAGATGGATGATGGTGGTGATGGTTAGTCCACAGTGTGAATGCACCTAATGCCACTGAACCGTACACTTGAAAATGGTTAAAATGGTAGATTTTATGTTATATGTAATTTATCACGATAAAACAAAAAGAAGGAAAAAGAAGGGAAGCAGGAGTCCGGTTGAGGAGAAGCTTACTCTTTGCTGTCTGTACTCTTCACAATGCTTGATTTGAAAAAATCACATACACGTATTACAAAATGGATTACAAAAAGATACAGTGATGCCACGGAGATCCCTCTGCTGCCCACACCAGCCACACTCGGCACTCCCCGCCCGGGGCCGCGGGGGCAGAGGTCAGCGTTTGAACGATGGGTTTGGCACAGGGCTGATGTACCCAGCTCCTGCAACGCTCGTTGAGTAAGCTGGGGAGATCTGGACTGGAGAGTCTCTGGGCCTCATTCAGTGTCCCCATCTGTGCAGAGGATACTGGATCTGGTCCTGCCCGTGCTGCCTGAGGCCTCTGACTTACTGACCTTGGGCTAGCGGGCCCGCAGGGCACGGCTGAGCAGGACAAGGACTGGCAGACTGCAGCTGGCCGGCCAGAGCATCCTGGGCAGGGCTGGAGGAGCTGCCCTGACATGTGGAGGCTGGCGGGGCCCTGGGGTGGATGTTCTGACGAGAAGGAGGAGGAGACGGCCTGAGCCACCTCCTGTGGTCCCTGCCATGCTTCGTCCCGGGGAGCTGGCTGCTACCTTCCCTCCGAGAGCGCTCCGGCTCCCGCTCCTGCCGAGCACCCCCCGTCCCCCACCCCCACAGCCCAGGAGGCAGCCCCTCTGCCCTGCTAAGTGGCGCTAAGTGGCGACTTTCATTTCTAGCCTCCCAGTGATCCTCAGGGCTGGGCAAGGCCACCACCAGCACGCACAGCACTTTTGGGTGAATGGAAACAGGTGCCCTTTACACGGACCAGGAGCTGCTGGGGTGTGACTTTCCTCCTCTGTACAGATGGGCGACTGGGCCCCAGCATGAAGCCGTCTGTCCTAGGCGGCCCAGCTCTGTAGCAACGATGTTGAGCAGGGACGGGGCCCCCACCCCGAGGCCAGGACAAGACTCTCTGTTGAGAGGTGATTGGGAGAGGAGGCCAGATGACCAGGGCAAGGCCAGGGCACTTCCCCAGCACAAGCCGAGAGCCTGGGCTGGGGCTGGTGAGTGGGAAGGGCACCACGTCAGAAGGAAGATGGGAAAGACTCATCACCTGGAGGGGAAGAGAGCAAGAATCGGAGGTTCCTAGACGAGACCCCACCAAGGCGCTGAGGAGCCAGCTCCCAGACAGGAGGGCCTGGGTGCGAATCCCAGCTGTCCCTCACAGTCTCTGCTCCTCTCTGAGCCTCAGTCTCCTCGTCTATAAATTGGCAGCAAACTCACATCTACCACTTGGGGGGTTGTGAGAATTAAATGAGATGATTGTGCAAAACGCCAGCACTGTGCTTGCTCACCACAGAGTGCTCAGGAGTGGGAGCTATTATTGTTACTGTTGTTCTCGTTACCTGCGACGGCCGGTGGTTTCGGCCTGACCACCTGTTTTTTGGAGGTGCATTTGGAGAAAAAGGAAGCACAGAAGGGAAGAGCTGGGTAGGGGCTGGAACAGGACTAGGGTGACGGCAGCAGAGAGGCGGGCTGGGAGGATGCTGAAGAATTCGGCTCTGGACTCAAGAGCAGGATCTCTGATGTGGGGCACAGGTGCCCTCCATTGGTCTTCCCAGACGTGTCCCCAGGCCTCTGGGCCTGCTTTCTACATGCTCCAGTTTGCCCTCCTTCCAGGATCCATCCATTCGCAGGGCGCCTGCTTAACACCCACCCCCGGAAGGATTTAGATTGGAGCAAGAATTAATTGCAAGGGAGAGAGAGGTGTTGCTCCGTGAGCTGCGGTTGGGAGCTGGCCTCCGAGCTGGCAGACAGGCTGATGGCTCAGTGTGGACACTGCCCCTGGGACTCCTCAAGCGCCTGGCTGCCTGCCACCTTTGCGCATCCCACCTCAGTTGCAAGACACAGAGAAAAACTGAGGCCTCGGGAGGCCAAGGGACTGGCTCAAGGTGGAGAGACAGAACTGTGGGGTGGAGAAGGGAAGGCGAGCCCTGGCAGGCGGCCCAAACTGTTAGCCACGAGCGGCCTCCGTGGAGATCTGGGTGGTTGGGGACAGCGTGTTTTGGGGACTGCTGACCAAAGTCCTCATGGAAAAGGGAAGGGTTGAGCCGTGAACTGCTGGCTCCATTGACACCTCAAACTACATCAAATGAGTTCCCGAACTGAATTGAATCTCAGAGAACACTGAGGGGCAGAGTGTGGCATCGTCCACAGATTGGGGTGTGACCAGCCCTTGTTGAGCCCTTGCTGTGGGTCTGGTCCGTGCTTGATGAGCGTTATCTTCCCTGGTCGTTGGGGCATCTCAGGCTCCAGGAGGCACCAGGCAGACCTGACTTCAAATGTTGCCTCTGTCATTTACCCGGGACAGGTCACTTCTCGTGGGGTTGGTGCCCTTATTACCACCATTTTACAGATGGGGAAACTGAGCCTCTGCAAAGGTGATGGCTTGTCTGAGGCCCACGGTCAGTGGGAAAGCCGGGACTTAAACCCTGGTTGATCTCACTCCAGAGCCTGTTCCGTCCGCCAATGCACTGCCGGCTCAACGTGGGCTAAAGGAAGCTGGCGACGTCTTTGGCAGAGCACAGAGGGAGGGGGGTCCCTGTGTCCCATTTCTCAGATCGTGCTCCTGAGTCCAGAGCCAAAATCATCATCGTATCCCCAGCCTGTCCCTGCCCCACCGTCACCCGTGCCCTGTGCCAGCCCCTAGCTGGTCTTCCCTTCTGTGCTTCCTCTGGTGTGGAACAAGCTTTCATATGGGAGACAGCGAGGTGTCCTGGGCTCCAGTCCAGGCTGCGACTGTGTCCTTGGGTAAGCCGCTTCCTTTTTCTGGCCTTAATTTCCTCATTTGTGAAGTGGAGATCTGCCCTTGCCTCCAAGCAACTGGGTTTTATCAACTGGGTTTATAAAACTGGGCACGCTGGAAAGAAAAATGACCAAAAGATACCTCCCTGTATCGCGAAGGGCTGACGAACACCGCACCGAGGTTGTGGGTGGTGGAGGGGAGGAGACAGGTTCCCTCTGAAGCTCTGTGGCCTTACAGGTGGCTCCTACTCCACACCCAGGGGGAGGAGCTGGCACCTGGACTGGCCCCAGACAGCCAGTCATTCCTGCTGAGCCTTAGGAGGCATTCCACTGTCGTTGCTGACACCTGAGTTACTCTCAATCCTCTAGGCTCAGGAGGCTGTTTAGATGAGCCTGCCTTCCCTGAGTGGTCACGGGAAGGATTGGAAGAGAAGCCGGCTGGGGAGGGCAATGCATGCCAACATGGTGCGCTGGAGGGTGGTGTGGGGGTGGGGCTCAGCGGACCCGGAGGGAGGAATGGGGCTTTGCTCCAGTTTGGTCACAAATTGCCTTGCGCAAGTCCCTTCCCTCTCTGCTGTCCTGGGCCTCTGCAAGGGCTCCCCCTGCTCCATCCAGCCTGGGTACCCTTGGGGCATACAGCAGGCACCCTGCCCTTCTAGCTTGCTGCTGCAACCCCTGCACCCGGCTCTTGGTAGGGTCCCAGTTTACCTTTGCTTCTGTGGTTCTCCGTCTCTTCCCCCATCTCCCCATCCCATCCCACATCTCCCACCTGACCCTGGGTCCATCTGCATCCCTGTGTGGTCCAAACAGAGAGTGAGGTGCCCGAGCTTCTCAGGACTCCATCCTTGGCTGGCTTCTCAGAACTGCCAGGTGCTCGAGCCCTGGGTGGAGTGAGCCGTGCAGCAGGGCAGTGATGGCGGGAGGACCAGACGACCTTACCCAGAGCATCCTGGGCTGCGGAGCTCTAATTTATTTCATCAATTCCGGCCCCCAGGCTGGGGAAGGAAAACGGCAGGATATTAAATCTGTCGCTCTCACCAATCTGTCATAGGGATGTCAGCGCATTGACTCTCCTCCTCCCGCCTTCATTAACTATCTCCTCTGGGGGCCGCCGGCTCTGCCAGTGCCAACCTGGACCCTGCCTGGGACAAGGCAGCAGATTGCAAGGCGGCAAGGAGGGGCATGGGGCGGGGACACAAGAACCTTTCAGGGGACAATAATAACAAGAAAATATTTAGAGTTGGGAAGCAGGGACCCTGAAGATCATTTGTAATCCAATCCTTCAATTTACAGATAAGGAAACTGAGTCCTGGGAGCAGTGGGAGATGCCTCAGGAAGTACAGCCAATAAGGTGCTGGAACTAGAATCCAGACTCCTGATGCCCAGGCCAGGGTTCTTGTTATTCACTTAATCAACATATTTTTCTTGTGTGACTCCTAAGCGGTGACAGAATTGATTGCTCAGTGGGCACTGTACTCGGTTCCTGTTGCTGCTGTAACAAATTACCGTCAGCTTAGTGGCTTAGAACAACACAAATTTATTACCGTACTGTAAGTCGGATGTCTGAAATGGGTCACCCTGGGCTAAAATCAAGGTGTCGGTCAAGTTGCATTCCATCTTGGAGCTTCTGGAGGAGAATCCATCTTTGTGTTCTTCCAGCTTCTAAAGGCTGTCCACATTCCTTGGTGGTAGTCTCCTTCCGTGTTGAAAGCCAGCAATCCTGGTGGATTCGTCCTCATACTGCATCACTTTGACATTGACTCCTCTGCCTCCCTCTTCCACTTCTAAGGACTCTGTGATTACCTTGGGCCACGCGGATAACCCAGGTTAGTCTCCCCATCTCAAGGTCAACTGATCAGTAGCCCTAATTCCTTCTGCAGCCTTGATCCCCCGCTTGCCACGTAAGGTGCCACATTCACGGGTTCTGGGGAGTAGACGTGGATGTCTTTGGAGGCCATTATTCTGCTGACCACAGGCACACCCCCATGGACCACACACCAGGCTGAGCACTTCACATGCAGTGCCCCACTTCGTGCTTACAACGACTGATGAAGTCAGTGCAAGCTTACCCCCATTACACAGATGAGAAAACTGAGCTTCAGGGAGACCGAGATTTCCTAAACCACACAGCTGCTCGATGGCGGAACTGGGATGCAGACTTGGTCCAGATGAGCCCGGAGGTCAAACTCTCCCCTGCTTGGCTGCCCTGGGGAATCACAATGTGCAGTCATTCAGGGAAGGGCAGCCTGGAATGGCCTGCTATGGATCCAGGCAAGGAAGGCAAGACCCCCTGCCTTGGCCCACGGAGTAAAGTGGAGGAGCCACGCCTTTAAAAAGGGGGAACATGGACAGCCTCCCAGACTTGGGGAGGCACTTCCTGCTCTAAGTAATTGAGCGTCCTGCCCCGCCTCCCCTCTCTCAGCCCACTCTCCCTCATGCAATTTATTTGCTCATAAAATAAGGCCTTCTTCTCAGGCACCATTTTCTATTCAGCTTAAACAAATATTTACCAGCCAGACCTGACCTTAATTTCCTTAAATATCAGGGTCCCCGGAAGATGGAGAGCCTGCCTGTTGGGTGAGGACATGCTGAATCTGGGGTGGGGAGAATGGTTGTGCTGCTGCTGCTCCTCCCCTGGTGAGGACCGCATGTCCCCGTGACCCACCAGGTACGGGGCCCCTCCCACTCCCTATCAACTATCGGGTCTCCCCTCCGCTGAGGCCACAGGAAGAGGCGGGATGCAGACAGCAGGGTTCCAGCAACTCATGCCGCCTGATGGAGCTGACATTCTGGGCTAGGTTCTCTCTGCTGGAGGTGATGGGCAGAATGGCTACCAGACCCACCCCCTGAAGCCCCCTGCCGAGAGGGGTGTGGCCTGGGCTGTAGACAAGGGGAAAGAGGAAGCAGGAGTGGCCATAGAGGGTAGGGGAGCCTCACGCTAGGGCTGAGGGGACTGGTGACTCTGTCACTTGTTCCCTTTCCCAGACATTCACTCATGGACTCATTTCATTCATTGATTCATTGAGAAATATTTCCCGTGCTTGACCTGAGAGTCTGAAACAAAAGTCCAGCGCTGCTTTGCAGGAGCTCGTGTCCTGGAGGTTGGCCAGTGAAAGGAGGTACACAGAATCTTGGGTGAAGCAGGGATGGAGGGAAGAGAAAGGGCAGGACCATCTTCATGGAAGAGGAGTGACCAATGAGTCCTGGAGGATGAGTTAAACAGGCTCCTAGCAAACGGCCGGGTTTCTGAAGGAGATCATCAGGGTGTGCAGGAAGCAGGGTTGGCGATGCTGGCAGAGCCTGGGGGTGCAGCTGGGAAGACAAATGGTTAGTGCCAGCAAGAGGCAAGGACCCTTGGGTCCTATTCTCAGATCTTGCCTCTGAAGTCAGCTCCAAAGCCCTTGTCCTCCCACGTGCCCTGAGCCTGTCCCTCCCTTCTGGACTCCCTGTTTTGTTAAATAAGGCCACCCGCATCCTCCCAGCCATCCAAGTGGAAACCACCACCACCTCCTCTGACTAATAATGGTAACACCAGCTACCATGCCAAATGCTTTGCGAACATCACCTTGTTCAATTCTCCCAGCAGCCCCAGGAAGTAGGCACATACACGTCCCCATTTTGTAGAAACTGAGGTCTCGGGAGGTGAAGTCCCTTCTCCAAGGTCACCCTGCCAGCATGTTGTAAAGCTGAGAGTTTGCAAAGAGGACAAGGCTGAGGAGAAGGCACTCCAGGTAGGACACAGCCTGTGCAAAGGCCCAGAGGTGGGAGAGAACATGGCACATTCAGAGAACAGCAGGTGGTTGGTGTCGCCGGAGGCTCAGGGGTTTGCAGGAGAGAGTAGGGTGGGAGAAGTGTTATGATCAGATCTCGCATGTTGTAGAGGAAGTGGTGACATTTCCTGAAAGCTTTTAAGTCCCAAACCACTTTCACTTCTATCATCTTATTTGATCCTGTTCAGTTGCTGTGGCAGTAAGTGTCTCAGAGAGGTAGTGAAGGTGCCCAAGGGTATACAGCTAGGAAGTGGCAAGGCTGGGCCCTAGCTCTGTCACTGTGTCTCCGCAGGGCCTTTGGGGGATGGCCAAGACCACCAGGGCCCCTTCTGGGGAGCTGGAGTCAGACCAGGAGCCTTTTAATGGGGAGGGGGAGGCAGAAGGGGCACTGGAGGCCAGAGCTTCTAGCCTCTAATTTTGCTGGGTCTCGCCCCAGGGTGCAGAGGTCGGAGCCTGCCACACCCAGCCCTCAACACTCTGTGACCTTGGGCTTGCCCTTCTGTCCTCCGGACCTAGTCTCCCTGTGTATAAAATAACCCCTGTTCACTCTCCAGATCTCTGTTCCTGAGCCATCTCCTCCAGGAAGACCCCAGTCCTGCCCTCTCTGTCTGGCTCACCTCCTCCAGGAAGCCTCTGGGGCCTCTCCACCTGCATCATGTGTCCATACTGAACGCTCTCAGAGCTCTGGCCCCCCAAGCCCTGGATCCCCCATTTCGCTGTTGCGATGCCACCTCCGGCAGGACTCTGCAGCGTGTTCCCGGGTCTGGGTCTGGATTTGGGACCTGCCACATTTCAGCTACACGTCTCTGAGCCTCAAGTTTCTCATCGATAATAATAACTTTTTAAAAAGTGGGGATGGTAACAGTACCCACTGCGTGTTTCTGCTGTGAGGGTCCAACCAGAGACCCAGGAATAGCTCCCAGCAGAGTGCTGGGCATCGAACAAGCCATCAGCCAACGTTGACTGTGCTGTGGGCTGAATTGTGCCCCGAAAAGATACGTTGAAGTCCTAAGTCCCAGGTACTCGTGAATGGGTCCTTATTTGGAAGTAACGTCTTTGCAGATGCAATCAAGTTAAAAGGAAGCCATAATGGATGGGGGCTCTGATCCAGTGATTGGTGTCCTGATAAGAGGAGGAAAATTTGGACAGACACAGACACACAGGGAGAAGCCACGTGAAGATGGAGGCAGAGACTGGAGTGATGTATCTGCAAGCTGAGGAATGCCAAGAGCTGCCGGCCACCACCAGAAGCCAGGAGAGGGGCACGGAACAGACTCCCTCACCGCCGCCAGAAGCATCCGTTCTGCCAGCGCCTTGAACTTGGACTTCCAGCCTCTAGAATGGTAAGAGAGTAAGTTTCTCTTGTTTTAAACCACCCAGCTTGTGTTAACCAGTTACAGCAGAACTAGGAAACTAACACAGTTGTTAACGTAGCAAACACTCTGAATGCAAGTCCGGGGACACAGTGGCGCCCAGTAAGCTCCGGCTCCCTCTGGTCTCCTTGGTGCTGACCCTCTGTCTCCACCACCTCCTCCTCCAGCTGCCGGCACCCACGCCCCGCCTCCTCCCCGGCTTCTGAGGCCGGGCCAGTCTGGGCTGGGGGACTCCGGCCGGGGCAGGCGCCAGAGCAGCTCCTGGCCCCACGCCAAGGCCCGCAACACCTCATTACCGGGCAGGATGTAACGCAATTTCACCCATGGACAGCGCTGAAAGCCAGGCCTTTGCCGGCGTGATGGATGGGCCGGAAGCCGCTATCTTGCCTCCGCCCCTGCCAGGCCTGGGAAGGCTCTGAAGCGCCCAAGCAGCTGGCACGCAGCGCGCCTCGCAGCTGAGGCGCACAGATAACCCTCAGCAGCGCGCTGGGCTGCCCGGCCGGCCCGGAGCGAACGTCAGGGTGTTAATGAGTCTCCGCGGGCGGCGCCTCCCGCCGCCCCACGCCCTGCTGGGCGCCTCGCTCCGCCGCCCGACTCCCCTCCCAGGGCTTTGTTCCTTTCTTCCTTTCGTTTCCTGTTTGGGATAAACATGATTCATGCCAGCCCCAGGGCCCTGTCACCCTGCCCAAGGCCGGCTGTATGTCTCGGGATGAGCCTCCGCGGCTCCAGCCCGGGCTGGACGTGGGCGCAGGGGGAGGGGGCCGGACAGGAAGCGGCCGAGAGGGCGAAGGCAGAGGTGATGGGCCGCACCAGGCGGGGAGCAGAGCGCCAGGCACCGAGGGGGGCTCAGAGAAGTCGCGGGGCCGGGCCCTGTGGGATTCGCCCTCTCTGCCCTGGAGCTGTAAGGAGCTGTGCTGCTCCCTAGGGCTGCTGTGCAACACATCACAACCTGGGGGCTTCCAAAACCAGAAAGTTACGCCCGCACAGTTCTGGAAGCCAGAAGTCAATATCCAGGCGTCAGCAGGGCCCTGATCTCTCTGAAGGTTCCAGGAAAAGATCCTTCCTTGCCTCTAACAGCTTCTGGGGGTGCCAGGCAATCCCTGGCCTTCCACAGCCGCCTACTGCCAGTCTCTGCCTCCGATGCCACCTGGGCTGCTCCCCTCACGGGCCTCGTCTTCACATGGCATTCTCTTCCCAGTGTCTCTCTCCTCTTCTCACAAAGACACAGTCATGTTAGACTAAGGGCTCACCCTGCTCCAGCATGGCCTCCTCTTGACTAATTACAATCTGCAATGATCCCATTCCCAAATAAGGCTCCATTCACAGCAACTGGGGGGGTAGGACTTCAACATGCCTTTTTTGGGGACACGAGTCAAACCATAACGGCTCCCAAGACTCCCAGCATCTGGCCCCGCCCCCTGTTACTCCTCTCTCATCACTGCCCCTCACATACTGGGCCACTGGCAGTTCCCTAGATGAGCCACGTTTTTCCTTTTCTCTGGGCCTCTGGGTGTGCTGTTTCTTCTGCCTGGATGCCTGACTCGTGCCTAACCGTCCACCTGTCCCCCATGATTGTCAGTCATGGTGGGCTCCTTGGTGAGTAATGCCTCATCCATCAAGATCAAGCTTAGCTGTCAGCTCTCCCGGGAGCCCTCACTGACCCTGTGCCTCTGGGCTCCTTAATGCCCCGAGCTAACCTGCACTGCCCCTCGCGGCCCCCCAGGTGGTCTTTACCCATTCGCCTCTCCTCGCCAGGCTTTCTGTGTGTAGGCTCCGAGTGGGCAGGGTCTGTGTCTTACCTCTGCGTGCCCAGCAAACAGGTGCCCGGTAAACGAATTATTGAGTGACGAATACTATGAACCAGCATTCACTGAGCACTTACTAGGTCCTCATGCTAGGCGCTGTTCAAGCCCTTTACTTGTATTCTCTTTTTCTTTGATTGAGATAAAATTGGCATATAACATTATAAGTTTCAAGTGTACAACGTCATAATTTGACGTCTGTATTTGACAACTTCAGTGTGCTCACCACTGAAAGTTTAGTTTCCATCCATCACCACACGATTGACCCCCTTCACTCATTTTGCCCATACCCCCTACTCCCCTTCCCCTCTAGTAACCGCCAAGCTATTCTCTGTATCTATGTGTTTGTGGTTTCTTTCTTGTGTTTATTTTTATTTTTAGATTCCACATATGAGAGAAATTGTATCGTGTTTGTCTTTCTCTGTTTGACTTATTTCACTTAGCATAACACCCTCAAAGTCCATCCGTGTTGTCACAAATGGCAAGATTTCATTCTTTTTTATGGCTGAGCAATACTCTGTTGTATAAATATATATACATATGTATATATAGCACATCTTCTTTATCCATTCATCCGTGGGTGTACATTTTGGTTGTTTGTGTATCTTGGCTATTGTAAATAATGCTGCAATGAACATAGGGGTGCCTATATCTTTTCAAATTAGTGTTTTAATATTCTTTGCATACATACCCCAAAATGGAATAACTGGATCGTATGGTATTTCTATTCTTAATTTTTTTGAGGAATCTCCATACTGTTTCCACAGTGGCTGCACCAGTTGACATTCCCACCAAAGAATACAAGGCTTCCCTTTTCTCCACATCCTCGCCAACACTTGTTATCTCTTGTCTTTTTGATAATAGCCATTCTCACAGGTGTGAGGTGATATCTTGTAGTTTTGATTTGCATTTCCCTGGTGATTAATGATGTTGAGCGTCTTTCCATGTGTCTGTTGACCACCTGTATGTCTTCTTTTGAAAAATGTCTATTCAGGGCTTCTGCCTGTTTTTTCATTGGGTTGTTTGCTCTTTTGTTGTTGAGTTGCATAAATTCTCTATACATTTTGGATATTAACCCTTTGTGGGATATATGATTTGCAAATATCTTCTCCCATTCAGTAGGTTGCTTTTTCATTTTGTTGATGCTTTCTTTTGCTGTGCAGAAGCTTTTTAGTTTGATGTAGTTCCATTTGTTTATTTTTTGCTTTCGTTTCCCTTGCCTTTGTAGTCTTAGCCACAAAAACATCACTCTAAGACTACTCTCAAGGAACTTACCACCTATGTTTTCTTCTGGGAATTTTATGGTTTCAGGTCTTACATTCAAGTCTTTAAACCATTTTGAGTTAATTTTTATTCACGATGTAAGATAACAGTCTACTTTCATTCTTTTGCATGTGACTGTCCAGTTTTCCCAATACCATTTATTGAAGAAACTGTCCTTTCTCCATTTTATGTTCTTGGCTCCTTTGTTATAAATTAACTGTCCATATATGTGTGGGTTTATTTCCGGGGTCTCAATTCTGTTCCATTGATCTGTGTGTCTGTTTTTGTGCCAGTACCATGCTGTTTTGATTACTATAGCTTTGCAGTATAGTTTGAAATCAGGGAGCATGATGCCTCCAGCTTTGTTCTTTTTCTCAAGATTGCTTTGGCTATTCGGGGTCTTTTGTGGTTCCATACAAATTTTAGAATTATTTGTTCTAGTTCTGTGAAAAATGCCACTGGAATTTTGATGGAGATTGCACTGAATCTGCAGATTGCTTTTGGTAATACAAACGTTTTAACAATATCAATTCTTCTAATCCGTGAGCATGGATTATCTTTCCATTTACTTACGTCTTCAGTTTCTTTCATCAGCGTCTTATAGTTTTAGGTGACCAGGTCTTTCACCTCCTTGATTAAATTTACTCCTAGATTTTTTTTTATTTTTAAAGACTTCCTTTTTCTCCCCAAAGTCCCCCGGTACATAGCTGTGTATTTTTACTTGTGAGTCCTTCTGGTTGTGGCATGTGGGACACTGCCTCAGCATAGCCTGATGAGCGGTGCCATGTCGGTGCCCAGGATCCGAACCGGCAAAACCCCGGGCCGCTGCAGGGGAGCGCACAAACTTAACCGCTTGGCCACGGGGCCGGCCCCTTTTTAAAATTTTTGATGCA